CCCTAGCAGGAGACAGAGTCCTCATGGGGCATGGAGTTTCTGAAGACAAGGGTGAATTACTACAGTGGGGTCCCTTTCATAGCTCTCCACTTCTTTAAGGCATATTGTCAAGGTCACAGAGGGATTGTGCTGACTCCCTGGAGACCCAATGCAAAGGGGAGAGCAGAGAATTCCTTCCCCCCACCACTGCTGCCCCTGCCTTTTATTTTTGACCCTGACTCATCTGCTATCTTATGGAGGATTCAAACTCCAAACATAGGGGGCAGTACCTGAGGCTACTTCCATTTCAATGAAGCCACGTTGCTGAGAGAACTGGGTACCCATGACCTCCAGATGGAACTTTCCAGCCAAGTCCTCTGTACATACTTTCATGTAGTAACAGAAACTGCATTTATTGAATCCTGGCCTTGGCTTGCACGCTGTTCATTTGAGTGCACTTCTCAACTGCCCCGATTTTGAACAGGGAGTTGTTTTTAAATGACTGTTTTTATATGAGCTTTGACTTCTTGATGGATCATTGTATTGGAATACTGAAGCATGCTCTCTGTGTATTTATTGCCTCCATTGTCTCCTGTGGCATTACTTGGACTGCATGAGATAGTGGGATGGGCTTTTTGTTGGTGTTGTTATTGCTTTAAAAACAAATACTTTCACAATGTGGAAGTGTTGGCAAAATCTGGTCTTTATCCCCCACTTTCCCCTGGCTGCCAAGGAACGTCGATTCTGATTAGCTTTTCTGCAGAGTCTGTGAAGAGGGAGAGGGAGGGCAGCTTTGAAATAAATTTTTAAAAAGACCTCATCGGTTTCAGCAGACAGCTCTGAGTCTCCGAGTGTGTGTGTGTCTATCTCTGTGTGTCTGTGTCTGTGCAAAGCCTAGGGAAGTCTCTGAGATCATTGCCTAGGTCTAGGTAGCTGGCTGTATAAAGAGGTAAGGCTCTGCATGGCACCTGAGTGCTTGTTCTCAGAGGGTGAGGGTCCTGGCGCCAGAGGGAATGAAGCTCCATGAGACTTCAGCCTTCCACGTTAGGTCCATTTCCCTTCTAGAAGCTTCTCTACCCCATCCCCCACAAGCAAATCAGAGCTTTTTTTGAGTTTGGGGTTCCATTTCCCATTCTTTTGTTCATTGATGGAGTCTGAGCCAGACTTCTTTGGGGGGAGCCCAGTAGCGGCGCTGGCTGCTGTCCATGGTCCTGGCTGGGGGGGCTTGCCCTAAGGCAATTCCTGCCCCACTCCCCTCCTTCGCTGTCATACTGGAGACGGCTTCTCTTCTTTGGATGGCCTTGTTTCTATTTTGGAAATGGTGACTGAAACTGCTGTCACAGGACAGCAAGGCTGTGAGCACTCTACAATTTATACCGCTCACCTCACGTCTCCTGTATTTCTGGTTCTATCTGTTTCTGACAGTCTCCCTTGCTGGGAAACTGGGGGAAGTTCTTGTATACCCGCCTCCTACATAAGAAACTTTGGGAGACACTGGGTCGCTATTGGTGGATTTTTTTTTTTTTTTGACACAGGGTCCCATGGAACCTGGGTTGGCCTCAAACTCACTATATAGCCGAGGAAATACCCAAACTTGTGATCTTCCTGCCTCCAACTTTAGAGTGCTGGGATTACAGGTGTGGGCCCATACACCTGGCTTACACTGTGGGCTTTGAAAATCCCCACCATGAACTGTTAGAAGCTACAGTGATAGGAACACAGTTTTGCTTCTGTGTTGTTCCCAATTTCTTTTCTGGATATTTCCTGAAGTCAACCTGGGGTGATCAGGGGGGTCAGATGTTGGCTGAAGAGTTAAGTGGGGCCCACTAGTCCCAAGAAAGCTGATCTGAAGCTCCACAAATCAGAGAAGCTGATGTCACAGTGTCATTTGAAACTTTTAGCCAAAAGTTTATATTTAACATTTTAATCAAGTCACTCAACACATGTATTGAGCATCTGCAGCGTGTTGACTGTAGACCTTCATCTCAGAACAAACTGACTTAGTTATTGTAGAGCAACAGTCCTTCTGGGAACCAGATGATGTGAAATGTCCCTTTTCAGTCTGGTTCACAATTTTTAACAGATCTGCCAGGTCACTCGTGTGACTTCAAGCATTGCTGACAGACTGCTATGTAGTATTTATTGCACGCCACGCTATCAGCTGAAGGCAATTAAAAAGCTTGCTATCTCTACATCTCAGCAGGAAGACTAATTGCCCTGTACAATAACCATGCACCACAGCTGAGCACAGAGGTGCTTTCCAATGCTTCCCTGGTGAGAGTCCTCCCAACACTTTGGCAGTAGTCTGTTGTTCCCATTTTACAGATGCGGAGGCTGAGACAAAGTGTCTGAGCCAAGGTTTGGACTTGTTTGTCGGACCCCACTCCCCCAAGCTCACAAGCTGCCTGCTGTGCTGTACTGGATCAAGAAATGGACCTGTAGCATTGCTAATTTAAAAGCAAGCATTGGCTGGTCGTGGTGGTGCACACCTTTAGTCCCAGCACTCAGGAGGCAGAGGCAGGTAGATCTCTGTGAGTTCAAGGCCAGCCTGGTCTACATAGTGAGTTCCAGGACAGCTAGCGCTACAGGGAGACCCTGTCTCAAAAAGACCAAAAAAAAAAAAGAAAGCAAGCATTGATGGTTGAAGGGAAGGGGGTTTTTAGATCAAAGGCAAGGACACATCTTTGGTCCAGTAGGGAGCATCTGACTTAGGCCTACTGGAAAGAATGCCTCATTTGGGGGCACTTGAGAGTAGGCTGGATGTTATTAGGGGGACTAAATGGATGTATCTCCTTCCCGTGGTGTGCCCAGTTTCAATAAAGTCCAGGGCAAGAGCATTTAATGTGCAAACAGGGCCTGTCCAACTTACTTCCTACATCATGGAAGTTTTTCTTACCTCTCTCCTGTCTCCTCCCCGACCCTGGACCCGCAGGTCGTTGCACTATAAGGAGCCAAGGAGCCTGTGTGCATGGCAGGGGTGGCTATGAGGGATCTGGAGTCTGGTGGAGAGGCAGTCACTTGGGGATGTTCTGTCTGGTTGTGACTCGGCTGGCTCCTGCTGTTTTGTAAGAGGAATTTCATACCTGGGGTTGCTTTGTACATATTTGTAACAATTTTAATAAAAAATTGATGTGCACTTCTAGTCAAGGCCTTTGTGTATTCATCTTGGAGAGTGGGTCATCAAAGACTGTGGGATGACTTGCACCACTGACAGAGAATTCCTGGACATGGCTTGTGCACGTCTCAGCCCTCCTGGGAGTGGAAGGCCACATGCTCGTCTCCCCATTTTATTTATTTATTAAAAATTTTAAGTGTATGAGTCTTTTTTTTTTTTTTTTTTGTATGTAAGTGCACCTGTGTCATGCAGTGCCAGCAGAGGACAGAAGAGGACATCCGATCCCCTGGAACTGGGGTTGTAGACACTTGTTAGCTGCCATGTGGGTGCTGGCAACTGAATCCAGGTCCTCTATAGGAGCAGCCGGTGCTCTTAACCACTAAGCCATCTCTTCAGTCTGTATTTATCCATCCATCCATCTGGATGCCTCTCTCTCTCTACATGTGTGTGTGCGCGCGCATGTGTGTGGCGGCCAGAGGTCAGCCTCAGGATCTGTCTCCATTGTTTTTGAAAGTCTCTTCACTGACCTGGAGCTTGCCAAGGTGGCCAGCAAGCCCCTTAGAGGTGCAAATTGTCACCTAATGCTAATAATTTGCACTTTGATATCCATCCTAGTCTGGCAGCCATGAAAGTCCTATATTTATGTTTTTAATTAATTTTGGTTAAACATTTTTTTATGTATATGAGTGTTTTGTCTATATGTAAGTACATCTGTGCATGCAAAGTCAGCAGAGGTCAGAAAAGGGCATTGGATCCCCTAGGACTGGAGCTACAGACGGTTGTGAGCTGCCAGGTGGGTGCTGGGAACTAAACCCAAGTCCTCTGCAAGAGCAGCTAGTGCTCTTAACTGCTCAGTCATCTCTCTGGTCCCCCCCTTTTTGAAAATAGGTCTCATGATGTAGCCCAGGTTGGCCTTGAACTCCTGATCCTGCTCCCTTAGTTGAATCACAGACATGAACTGTGACCCCTAGTGTGAATCAGCAATGCTCTCCCTTCCACCACCCCCCCCGCCGCCTCCAGTGCTCGGGATGAAACCCATTCCTGTGTATACTAGTCAAGCATTCTCCCACTGAGCCACAAACCTAGCCCTTCACTGGAAAATTCTAGGCAGGTGCTTTACTGCTGAGCTGTGCCCAGGTGGCCAGTCCTTGAATCAGCACTGCAGATGCCCCACGAAGCGCTTCCAGATCCCCACCAGTTCCATATCCCCACCCTGCAGTTGGGTGTGCTTTGCTGGCACCTGGATGCCTTGAAGGGCCACTTCTGAGACATGGGGCCTCTGCAACACACAACCTGGAGATCCCCAGAGGTCCCTGTTAATTCAAAATCAAGGCCTCAATGATGTGTTGTCATGAGTACAAAAGTCACAGTGTGGCACAATCTCAGATGCAACTTACACTTGAACCCCCTACCTTGGATGATGCTGGAGGGGTCCTCCTCGGAAGCCACAATCTAGTGCCCTTTCCTCTCCTGGCTTGAGTGTGTGTGTATTAATATGTGCATGTGTGTGCACATGGAGGCCAGAGGTCAACATCATGTGTCTTCCTCTCTTGTTTGCCACTTTATTTGGTGAGACAGTGTTGCTCACTGAAACTGGTGTTCATTGATCGGCTAGGTTGTCTGGCCAGCAAGTGCCTGTCTCCCCTGTCCTGCACAGACATCCCGCCATGCCCGGCTTTTTAGTGGGTTCTGGGGATATGAGCCCAGGTTCTCATGCTTGTGTGGCAAGTACTTTGCCCACTGAGCATCTCTGCAGCCTATCATCTTTCTTTTATTCCCTCCCTGGCATCTCCAGAGAGAACCTCTCCTACCCATCACTAGCACTTCAGCAGACTCTGCATGGGGCCAGTGCTACTCATCAGACTCAAAATTGGCTTCAAGAGCATGAATGAGCTGTCAGTACAAGTTACATCAACAGGGGAGGTTTACTGGCAGAAGGTTGTCAAACACATCAAAGGCAGCCATTTGCCCTGGAGCAGAAGTACTGCAGACCCCAGACCCCATTTCCTCCTCAGCAATGGGGTGTCCTCCAGGCTTCGCATCTGTGTCATCTTACTCATTGAAGGTGGTGGCTCTGTTACACTCAGGTACAAAGCAGGCCTTTCTTCGTCCCATATACATTAAAAAATATTTATCTTTATTTTTTAAGTTATGTATATGTGTATGTGTGTGTGCCTGATTTGTGCAGGTGCCCACAGAGGTCAGAAGAGGGCACTGATCTCCTGGAGCTGGGTGATTACAGGCAAGTGTGAACTGCCCAACCTGGGTGCTGGGAGGCAAATTTGGATCCTCTGGAAGAGCAGCCAGTGCTCTTAACTGGCTCCCTCTTCAGCTCCCCTTCCCCCCACTTAACTCTTCTCAAGTTCTCATACGTGAGTATTGAGGACTGAGGAGAACTTGAGTCTGAGAACAGGATCCTGAAACAGATGTTCCACTCGTCCTGCTGATTACAAAGGACTCAGGCCAACACAGGAGAACGGTGCTGTTCTCCCAGGGACATTTGGCTGCTTCTGTGAAAACGATGGGGAATTCACAAAGCCTGGTGTTTATGAAACTGCCTTAGCCACTGCCCTCCCCACCCCACCCCAGGACAGAAGCAAAGGCTTCTGATCCAGAAGAAACTCCTTATTGGACATTCCCCCAAAGGGTAGGAAACAAATAACTAGACTCTTGAAGTGCATCATCTCTCCTCCCCCAAGGAGCAGCCCCCAGCTGTGACATTCTTTAGAGGATCATTATTATATACAAAAATGTTAGAAAAAAAATTGGGACTAGCATGATGGTGAAACCACTGGAGCACCCATCATTAACCTACATTGTTTGTTTCCCTTTTGAAAAGGAGTTTCATGTAGCACAGGCTGGCCTGGAGCTTGTATGTGGCCAAGGAGTGACCTTGAATTTCTGATCCTCCTGCTTTCATCTCCCAAGTGCTGACATTAAAGGTGTGCACCCCTGTGCCCAGTTCATGTAATGCTGGTGATGAAACCCAGTGTTTCATGCATGCTAAGCAAGTGCTCTACCAAATGATATATATGTGCAGCTCTGTTGTTAATTTCCTTGGTCCCAGAAAGTACGCAGTAGGTCTTGCCACCCATTGATGGCTGCAGAGACTTCTCAAAGTCATGCAGTTTGAATCAGGTTCCAGATCTGACTCCTGATAGCTCGATCTGTCTGCTCCATCCCACGCCACACTTCTGTGAGGTTTTCCCAGCCCCAATCTCTCCACGATAATGACAGCATCTTCGGGCAAAGCAATCTCTGATAAAAATCAGTTATGGTTAAGTACTACTGCTTCTTGTAGGTCCTCCCTGAAGGCAGAGAGAACAGAGCAGCCCTTTCCTCCCTCTTCCTCTTTGATTATCCAGGCAAGTAGGATTGTTTAACACCACAACCATTGCCATAGTAACGGAGCTTGAAGGACGCAGTGGTGCCCTGGAAGGAGAGTCTTGCTGGGTACCAGGAACGAGTCAGGAAGGCCAAGCAAAGGAAGGAATCCTGTAGAGCTGATGCAGGGGGTTACCTGACTTGATTCTACTGAGGGGAGGGAGATGGCAGCAAGTCCTGCCCCCCACCCCAATATATCCCTGGGCTTGCATGCTAGCCACACACTGTTTTCTTTGTGATGTGGCTGGCGCCAGCCTGTTGTACTAAGATGGATAAGGGAACAAGATTGGGACAGGGTAAAGCAGGCAGGATTCCAGAGGCATCTGTATGGTCACCTGTACTATCTCATTCCAGGTTTTCAAGGAGGGAGTTTCCCAGGGGGAGAAGCAGCCCTGTCTTAGCGACTACAGAAGTGGACTGCATCTGGGTGTCTCCGTTTCCAGTGTTCCCTGTGGTCCCTTCTCAGGTGTTTGGTTAAAGACATAAAGGACTTTTTTCAAAGACTCTGGAAAGACTGTTGTTTCTCTGAGCTAATTACCTCACCAGAGAGAGGGAGGGGAAGGATTGTTACTGTGCTGCATGCCATCTGTAGCAGGGATTATCCCTTTAGCTTCCCACCCCCCACTCTCCCCTGGGAGTCAGCCATGTCCACAAGAGCTGTGCACAGGCCTGAGACATCAGTGAGGTAGAGGATGGATGAGAAGGAGAAAAGAAATGACAGAGGCCCAATGCCATGCACTTCTGGACCAAGCTTCTAGGTACCCAAACGGGACTGAGTATCCTCAGCAAGACCCAGGAAAAGAGAAATCTTGAGAGTAGTCTTTTCATGGCTCTGATCACAATTAGACTTCAGCAGCCAGTGTACTCAGCACAGTCCTCCTCTGACATGCTGTGTGCCTGCCTGCCCTGGTCACTGATGTTAGGCCAGGGAGTGATGTCAGAACCACCTCTCTGTTTTTAACAAGCCAGCTCTGCTGGTTCCCATCCCCACAGCATCAGCACCAGCCAATGCGGGAGTCTCATCTGCCTTTACCAGCTAGGTGACCTCACCAAGCTGCACACCTGTTTCATCCCTGTCAAAGGGAAGGGAGGATGAGAGTACCCTCATCCCAGGGCTGTTTTGGAGGCCACACCAGCAGGATGCTTGGGCTTCCTGGTGCTATACATTCCTGTAGGTAAGTGGCAGGGCCATGTTTGCATTTGAAGATCTCCCCAGTGGCTCTCATTTGCAGGCCTGGGCTGGGTGCTGAGAGCTTCCCTACCTAGTGTAAAGCATCTAGTACCAGCAGCTGGAACCAGGTTAAACAAGGGGAGAACTTCAGGTATGACCAATTTCTGGACTTAGAGGGGATAATCACTTACCTGCAGGGAGGCCAAACCTTAGAAGGGGTCCCTTTCTAACAGGACAGGATGCACGTACTGCATCCCAGGGTAATGAGGAAGGTATTGGTATGGAGGTCTGGGGGCTTCAAGTGGAGGTGCTGGAAGGCAGGACCAAAGTGCTGGAGGCTGTTTTCCAGGCATTCATAGGGCTGGGCTCAGCAGCACTTGGCCCTCACACATTTCCTTAGACACCTCGGTGTTCAGCTTAGTACACCTGGAAGTGTGCCGACGTGGCCCCATCCTTCCAGCAGCGCAGGGTATCCACAGCAACCGAGCGACAGAGCGGGCAGGTGCGCTCTCGGTCCAGCCACAGGCAGAGACACTCCTCACAGAACACGTGCTGCAGGGATAGTAGTGAGGACTGTGATATAAGAGCTGGGGGACACAGTAACAAACAAATTTTCCTAGAGCTTTCGTTCCAGGAGAGGAGATAACCGACCCCATCATGTCTAAAATACATAGATGTCAGTAGCATGTGCTCTGGTGGAGAGGCAGAGAGAAGGCCTGGGAAAGCTCCCCTGAGAAATGGTGTGTTATTCAGGTGAGCAGTGAGCTGGGAGACACTTTGGAGGAAAAGCACACCTGGCAGAGCACTTTGACAGCATGTGCAAAGGCCCTGAGGCCAGAATGTATGGTTGACCTGGAGGGGCAGGGGCTGCTGAGAGAGGGAATGAGGTCAGAGACTGTGAGGGACCCCATGAGCCACTGAGGACTTGGGCACTTTTCATTTGGTAGTGTTGTTTCTTTGAGACAGACTGTCCTAGAACTCATTACGAACCCAAAGTTGACCTTGAACTTGTGGCTGATCCTCCTGCCTCAGCCTCCAGGGTGTTGGCATTACAGGTATGAACTGTAGCCCAGGGTGGCTTTTAGTTTGGGAGAAGTAAAGGAGCCATGGCAAGGCTTTGAGCAGAGGATTGACCTGGTAAGATCTGGATTTTTTTTCTTGAGACAGGATCTCATGTATCCCAGACTGGCCTTAAATTCACTGTGTAGCTAAGGATGACCTTGAACTCCTGATCCCCCTGCCTCCACCTTCCAAGTGCTAGAACTATAGATGTGTACCATCATGCCTGGTTTATGCAGTATTGGGGAATGAACCCAGGCAAGTATTCTACCATCTGAGCTACATCTCCAGTTTCTATTTGCTTGTTAGGTTGAGAACACGCTGGCTAACACAGGTCCCCACACAGGCTATACAAGCTGGATAAGTGACTTAACCTCCCTGTGACTCAGTTTCTTTATCTGTAGAATAGGAGTAGTAACCCCTTTTAGCATGTTTAGCTGACATATTAAAATGACTTAGACAAGTCAACCGAACACAGCCTATGGTTTCTAATGGGCTCCTGGGGGAAGGGGGTGCCAGCTAGGTGTCAGTCTCCACGAGAGCGGTGACAGCAGTGGCTGTCCCACTGTCTAGCCCCAAGTGCTGCTATGGGTGAGAATGAATGTGAATCAGGACAGGATATTAGGGTGAGGCTCAGAGCCTCCTCAGCAGAGGATAGATGGGCAGAGTCTGGTGCCAAGCGAAGAAGTTCAAGGAACCAAGTTCACCAGGGCCCTAGCCAAGAAGTTCATGACCCTGAGTCCACAGCTGTCCACCTTTGGAGAGAGGGGAAGACATGTGGCAGAGGGATGGAAGACTTTTCCCAGCCTGAATGTGAAGGGTGTGTGTGTGGGGGTGAGCAGGGCAGGAATTCGAGCCAGGATTGGAGTCGGGTGAGAAGTACAGGGCTGGGGACCCCATCTGTACTCCAGTCCCACCTGCAATCTGCATTGTGCTCAGAGTCTCAGAACAGGTGGCAAGAGAGTGAGACATGAGCCCCCCAACCACAGAAGCCAGACTCGGGTCCTGGTGAGCTAAGCTAAGGAAGCAGCGAGCCTGGAGCAGATGGACAGATGCGATGACAGGCAGGAGCAGGGACACTGCATCCACACTGCCAATGAATGCTACATAGTATGAGATCACATCTCACTGATCAGAAAGACTCAGAGGGGGACGCCATGGCCCAATGACACACAGTAGGTAGGTGGTGGGACTGGAATTTAACCTCAGGAATATGGCTATCTCAGCCTGTGGGGTCCCGTCCTGGGATTCACCTTGTGGTTCCCCACCCCTGAGAAATGGCTGCATTTGGTGCATCGCTCTAATCAGGATACTACAGTCATGGGAGTCACTTCTGGGATTTGGTTTCAAAGACTCTGACCGCTTTCTTGCTGGCATTTTAAGTTTCTCACAGGCTGTCTCCATTGACTCCAGCTTGGCGGGAAAGCCACAGTAGCTTCTGGGCACATCAGTCAGCAAAGAACTGGGACCTTCAGTCCTACAGCCCATAAGCAGCTGAATTGGCTCATAACAATATCATAGAGCTGGGAAGTGGGTGCTCCTCAAGGTGGGTTGGTGGGAGACCCTGGCTGTTACCTTGTGAGTCACCCAGAAGAGGACATGGCGAAGCCTGGATTCTTGGCCCATGGGAACTAGATCATAGATGTTTGTAGCTTTACCATTCAGTTTTAGGATAATTTGTTATATAGCAGCAGTAGCTGTTTCAAAAAGTGCCCAACTCTATAGCAAAACCCATTGCTCATTATGTTCTATTGTATGCAGTGGGGGAAGTGAGGTTAGAAACACTTGATCTGGTAAAATGACACTACTCAAAATGTGACTATTGTAAGTTGGGACAAACAGATGGATAGATGGATGGACGGACAGACCGACGGACATGGACACGGACACACACACACACACACATGGAGGGAGGAAGCAGGGAGAGAGAGGAAAGGAGGGAGCGGGGGAGGAGAGGGCAGGGGGAAGAGAGCATGGAAAGGGTGTGCGGTGTGTGTGTATGTGTGTGTGTGTGTGTGTGTGTGTGTGTGTGTGTAGAGAGAGAGAGAGAGAGGGAGAGAGAGAGAGATTCTTCAATCACACAATAAAGCAAGCCGTGTCCAGACGTGAATTAAAACACTGTCAATATTGGTGTGACATAACATGTTTTTAAAAACCCATACACCACTACATATATCATCCTATATAAATGCATTAAGAAATCCATGCCTGCCCAGTTCTACTCTTGAGAGGCTGATGGCCTAGGTGGCCAGTGTCACCATGAACTGCATTGCTTGGGTTTGCAAAGTTAGGACTTAGGACATGTTGGTGCTCAGTAAGTACCCAGCACATAAGGGAATGGATGCAGCAGGAAGAGCAGGTGTTCAGAGCTGGATCCCAGCCCAGCCATTCCCTCATGCTGAGGAGGCTGTGAGCACTGGTTTCATTGAGTAGAGTACAGCACTTCCCAAAGTTTTCCAGGAAAAGCATGCTAATTGTTCAGTGTGGCCTTTAGGACACTCTAGGCAAGAGGTTGGGACTTGTGGAAAGAACAGAGGCAATAGCGCTAGAGGCCCTGAGTTTGAATCCTGATTCTGTACAAGGAGAAAGTACCTTGGACAAATGTGTCTTTGCCTTTCTAAGCCTGAGTCTGCTCTGTTAAACACGGCTCTTCCCTCTCCTGGGTGTCTAAGGATGGAGAAGGATACAACTCCCAAAGGATCAAGTGTGAACAAAATCAATGTGTGTCAGTGTTCTCTTCCCTTGTTGAGTGTTCATATCATACAGCACTCAGCCAAACTCACAGTGGTCAAGACTCTGAGAGTGCTTTGTTCTCTAAATACACTCTGATCTTTGGCAATGGAGTCCTTCAAAAAAACCAAGTTTCTGATTTTGTGTTCAACAGTACCTTCCCCTGATAATCCCTGTGTCCTGGTGGAGGCACATGACAAACTTGTGGAGACACTAACTGGACAGTCATCTGAGCTGGGCTCCAGCCTCTGGGCACACTCACTGCCTGACTAGCTTCCACTGATAATCTTTCCAGGGCCCCATCTCAAGGGGTAGATTGAGGGTAGAGGGAGTGATGTGCTGAGGTCCACTGGATAACTCTTTGAAGGAGAGACAGGATGTAGTTTTAGCCTGGTAGGTTCTTTATCCATCTATCCATCTACCCACCCACCCATCCTTCCATCTACCCATCCACTTATATTCATCCATCCAACAATCTATATTCATCCATCCATCCATCCATCTACCATATCAGTCCATCCATTATCTATCTATTCATCCACCCATCTACCCACCCATCCATCATCCATCTATCCATCATCCATCCATCCATCCATCCATCCATCCAATCTTGGGGCTCACCCATCCATCCATATCATCTATCCACCCATATCATCCCTTATATCCACCCACCTATATCCTTCTATCCACCTACCCATTCATCCATCCATTTATATCCATCTATCCATCCACCCATATGCATGCATCCATCCATCCACCCACCTACCCATCTATCCACTCATATCCATCCATCCATCCATCCATATCCATCTATTTTTGTCTATCAATCCATTGACCCATCTATTTATCCACCCTTTCACCCACCTAATCATATCTGTCCATCCATTAATCTATCCATCTACCAGTCTATCTGTTTGTCTCTATCTATCTATCTATCTATCTATCTATCTATCTATCTGTCTTTCTATCCATCCATCTATCTATCTTCTACTATCTATCCATTATCCAATCCATCCATCTATCCATCCATCCCACCGCTTCACCCACCTAATATTTATTGTGTCAGCACTCTGGTTCTGCTGCTAAACAAAACAGACAGGGTCTTCATTCCCAAGCTGCTTGCAGTTTGGCTGAGAGAACACAGATCTTGCACAACTTTACTCAATGAACTATCTAAGTAACAACTAGAAAAAAAAAGCTCTATGATGAAAATCCACAGCAGTTTATGAGATCATGATAGTGAGGAACATGAGTCTGCAGAAGCAAAACTGGGGAAAACTTCCTTGACGTGACATTTGAGCTCATTCATTCATGTATTCAGTGAAGTAAGTAAGGCCTTTTCTCCTGAGCAAGTCACCTCTGCCTTCCAGGCTCAGCGAACAGTGGGAGAGCAAGGTTGAGATGTGGGCTCAGTCTGATAATGTTTGTGGTCTTCAACCACTGTGTGTGGCTGTCACTCCTAGATCTGGAACAAAGGCATCTTGCCCATGCCCTTCCAAGAATTTCTAATCCACCTGTGGGAAGATGTGGTGGTGTTGCAGTAGAGGAGACAGATTGAGGCTCAGGGAGATTGCCAGGAAAGAAAGACTTTCACCTTGACATCATGTTCAAATAATCTCTGCAACAGAGAAGGAAATACAGATGGCTCCAAAGCAGGAGAAAAGATATTCAGCTGTGCTCATAATTAGGGGAATGCAAATGAAATCAGAGCTGAGATAGCGCTTGTCACCTGTCAGATTGGCAAAGCTCACGGAGAGGCTTGGTAACGCTGTGTGCTGGCGAGGGCGTGAGCAAGAGTCTGGGTCACACTGCGCAGGGAGTGAAAACACTCTCTTTATGGAGGGCAATTTAGCAAGATCTGTCAAAACCGTGGACCCTCTGACCCAGTAATCCCACCACTAGGAATTCACACTACCAAGAGTTCGTGTGTACAAGCACACACAGGAGACGGAATGCTTGCCTGCAACAGCTAATGTATATTGAACCCGATCATGGGCCACATGAAGCTTTGAGTCTCTACTTCTAATCAACATCACGGGCTCAGGTAGGCACAATTCATCTCTCCATTTCAGAATCTTTGTGACAGCTATCTTTGTAGTCACAAAAGATGCTGAGTGCTCGGCTTCTCAGTGCAGAAATGCTTAAACAAATGATGGTCCACCCATAAAATGTCACTCTCCACAGCTATGATTGCTCTCTAAGAGTTGTAAGTACAAGGGCCCTGAGCCCCGAGACTATGACTCAGGTTTGTTTTTTCAAGATGTATAAATGTGTATGTTTGGATACATATATACAGAGACATAAACAAGTGTGTATGCATGATGTATGTTTAACATGTATTTAAATTACATAACATGTCTTTGACAAACTATAAAGGAAGCTGGTAACAGTGATTGCTTGTGAGTATCAGCAAGGGGCTAAAGAAGCCTGTCACTACTCTTGGTATAGCTTCTAAAATCATTTCCTTTTCACATTTATTTACTTAATGTGTGGGAGTATGTGTGCACATGTATTCACAAGGTACCAAGGTGCACGTGTGGAGATCAGAGGACAACTTTTGAGAGTCGGTTCTCTCTTTCATGTGGGTTCTGGGGACTGAACTCAGGTCATCAGACTTGGCAGCAAGCACCTTTACATGTTAGGCCATCTCATCGGCCCCTATCTTTGTGTATCTTGCAATTTCTTTTCTTAAATAAACTTTTTATTTTTAAATAATTTTAAACTTACAGAAAAGTGAAAAGACAGTGTCACCCAGGCTCAGTTTCCTCTCACGTGACTGCATGCATGCCTGAAGGACGTTTGTAAAAGTTAAGAGAACTGGGTTGGTACATGACTATTAATGAAACTCTAGGCTTGTTTAGGTTTCATGAAGCTATTGCAGTCCTTGAATCTCCCTCTGTCCCAGGATCCAATCCAGGCTATGAATTGTATTCAATTGCCAGGTTTCCTTTTTGAATTTTGACTCATGCAAATGGATTGCCATTTTTTTTTTTTTTTGAGACAGGTTTTGATATGTAGGATTTGGTCTTCAACTATTGGAGATTCTCCTACCTCTGGTCCTCCAGTGCTGGGGACACAGGCATGTACCGCCATACCCAGCTATATTGTCTGTGAGTTCAAGGCCAGCCTGGTCTACATAGTGAGTTCCAGCACAGCTGGGGCTACAGGGAGACCCTGTCTCAAAAGACCGAAAAAAAAAAAAAAAAAAAAAAAAGAAATACCATTAAGGGGTAGAAAGGCAGCTCAGTTGGTAGAGTGTTTGCCTAGTATGCATGAGGCCCTAGTTTCTACCCCCAGCACCGCATAAACACCTGTAATTCCAGAAGTAGAGGCAGGAGGATTAGAAGTTCAAGGCCATCCTTAGCTGTTTAAAGTCAGCCTGGGCTACATGAGAAGTCTCAAAAAAACAAAACAAAACAAAACAAAAAAACCCAAAAGAAGACTGAGAGAACATAAGAACAAGCTCCTTTAAAGTCTTCAAACAGCAATAACAATTTTTTTTTTTTTTTTTGCTAATGCTAAAAGTGGACCCCACCTCCTACCCCATCTTCCGAGGGTGTTAGGGGGACCATCTGCCTTTCTTCCCATTCCTTCTGGAACCCAGGCTTATGCCTCCTGCAAAGAGCCTCTGCAGCCTGGAGTGCATCACTCTCTGCCTGGTCTCTGGGGACACTGCGTGAATCTCTCTTACATAGCCTGCCTTGTTTCATAGTTATGTATGTATGCGTCTGAGTCCCTAAGGAGACCGCAAGTTTCCAGAGGGACAGGCTCTGTGTGTCCTCTGCCTCTCTGCTCAACTCTGATCACATGCTCTGACCCAGTTCATATTTGCTGAGTTGACACCTCGTCCCTGATGTCAGGAGAAAGATGAGAGACAGTTAGGGAGTTGAAAGGGACCCATAGGCACTTACCACAGTGGCTTGGTGACCCCTGACTCACTATGCTGAAAATAATAAGGATGATGCTGGCAACTTCTGTGGCTGAGCCTTGTAGGTTTAGCTCTCTGCTTAGATAATCTCATTTAATTGTAGTCAGAGCTGTATGCAGTAGGGAATATTATGCCCCACTAGGGGGTCAAGAATGTGATTAGAAGCCAGATGTGGTGGTACACACCTGTGATCTCAGCACTGGGAGGTAGAGGTAGGAGGATCCTAAGTTTAAGCATGACCTGAGCTATATTGCAAGACCCTGTCTCAAAATAATGACAAATACAATGCTTCTAGGCTCTGGAGGTGCCGTTCAGTGTATATTCATGTTTAGCATTAGCAGGGACTCTAGGTTCAACTCACTGCACTGAAAGTTTTAAAAGGCAATGTGGTTGGGATTCATACTCAGGGCCATCTGATATTATATCACTCTAAAATGGCGCCTCTACATTTTACCAACAATTAGGAGGCTCAGGAAGGTAAAGCAACCTTCCCTAGGTCACCCAGCTAGTAAGAGGCAGAGCTGATTTGAACCTGGGTCTGCCTCCAGCTTTGACCAGGTTGCCCCCAAAGACCCATGCTGGAGTCCTGAGCTATGTTCACAGGACAGGCTTCTCCTGGAGCAGGGTCCCACTGAGGCCTCAGCCTCCGAGGTGGAGAGGCCCTCTGTTGCAGCCTCAGTGCCCAAGAGCTCCACCAGCTTACCTGGCACAGAAGAATCAGAGGCTCACGGAACTCAGCCTGGCAGATGGCGCAGATGGCACCAGCTTCCGTGCACTGCTGCCCAGTGGCTCGGACCCCGTAATTCTGTTTGAAGAAGCCGGAAAGGGAAAGACAAACACACCTAAGAGCTCTAGAGGGAGCAGCACAGCACCTGTGGGGCAGGAAGGGGCTGCTGCTGGCTCCAGCTTTTGGTTCCCAGGACCCCTGAGGCAGGACCCCTGAGGTGTCCTTACCTGGGAGGTGCAGAGAAGCTTCAGCGCTTTCCTCACTCCACCTATACGACCACAGATGTCGAACGACTAAGGAAGAACAGAGCAATGGCTGAGGAATGTACAGGGATCTCCTGTGGCCCCAGAACAATTTCCTGTAGCCTCCACCTTTGTCTTTGATTCAGATAATTTTCAGGAAATTTCCCATTGGTATCAGTTTTGCCTGACTTTTGTCTCCATACCTAGGTTGGATAGGTACAGAGCATATATCCTGCTTCCCTGCCCCCACAAGCCCAGGGCAGGCATTGCTAATTAATCACAGCACTCCACATCTGAGCCTAGCCAGTGCCTGTACTCTTTCCAGCCACTGCTAGGTGATCTCAGTGAGCAGGATAAGCCCATAGCTGACCCTGCATGGATTGCCTGCTGTTCTTGTTGCAAGGAAGGAAAGAGAACACACTAATTCTTCCTAGACCCTTAAAGCTAGAAACAGAGGAGGGAGAGAGGCAAGAGAGAGAATGAGAATTGACTTTTAGGGGCCAGTGAGATGGCTTAGTGGGAGGCCTGCCTAGTGTATGCAAGACCCTAGGTTCAATTCTCAGCACTTAGGAAGAGAGAGAGACAGAAAGAGAGCAAGAAAGAGGGAGAAAGGAAAAAAGAAAAAAGGAAGAAAGCAAGCAAGAAGAGAGATGGAGAGAAGGAAGAAGAAGGAAGGAAGGTTAGTGTTAGTTCTGTCAGTGAAATATACCTGTTTAAGACAGACGAGGTTACTGTGGCTAGCCCTGGCCCCTCAGGAGCCCCTCATGCCTGGCCCAGACTTGGGCCAGCTCTCTAGCCCCAGGGTCTTCTCACCTTGCACAGACTGTAGAGAACAATCAGAACCCCTCCCAGGAAGTAGCTGTTGGAGGAATCATCCCCCATAATGTATTTGTACCACAGCTGGATGGGAACTAGCGATCGGAACAGCTGGCTCAGCTCCTCGATGACCAGATAGAATTTTCCCTGCAGCCACACAAGAGCATCAATTAGTATTAGCAGTAAAGACCTCGAGAGGGCAGAGCTGGGGCCAGGCCATAACGACAGTCCAGGTCACAGGCAGGCCATTAATCAACTTTGCAAATCACTCAGGCTGGCTCTAATGGGGACTGATGTGGCCAGGGAGACATGGCTCCTGCCTGAGCCACCACCTATCGCCCAAAGTGCTAGGATCACGTCAGTGTGTGTGTGTGTGTGTGTGTGTGTGTGTGTGTGTGTGTGTGTAGAAATGATACACTTTGGGTAGCAGTAGGGTGTGGTCACTATCTGACTTGGTGAGTATGGAGGGCAGAGGACAGTCACTGTCTCCACCAACACCACCCAAGAGGGTCGACTCAGGTACTACAGGACAGCTACAGGGCAAGGATGGCCTGGTGTTCACTTCTGCAGTTCCATCGCCTGTGGCCTCTGAGGGACCTAGATGACACTGGGGGAAAGATCTGGATGTGGGGCCTCACACTATCTGGAGTTGAGTCTCAACATAGTCACAAGCATCAGTTTTCTTACTTGTGGATGAGAATCCCTTTTCCTACTAACCATGGGGTTACTCTGAGGATTAAAAGAAATGAGTGGAAAGAACACCTAGCCCAGCACCTAGCCCAGCACCTAGCTCAGAGTCTAGCACCTGCTACAAGTCCTGATTCTTTTCTTCCCTTTGGCCTGGCCTTGGACAAGTTCTGTAAGCTGTCTGTGGCCTGTGCTATGAAAGGGAGATGAAAGTAACCTCTCCTCATGGAGTCTAATAAAGGTAAACACTGACCTGATGTGGGACCCCCAAAGCCTCTCTGAGAGAAATGCAAACAGGTCCACAAATGGGACATGTTCTCAGCAGCTGTAGTCACAAGATCCCCCATCTGGAAACACACAACTGCTAATGGCTGGATTAGCCATTGTTCAGGCAATGTTCATAAAGTAGGAGGCCACTCAGCTGTGATAATGAACAAATGACTGGGATTTTCATCAATGTGGGCATCACATGGTCTGGAGGACGGTTGTTCTGGGGACATGGCTCAGTGCTTAAGCGTTTGTTATACAAGCCTGAGGCCCCAAGTTTAGATCCCCTGCACCCACATAAAAGGTGAGGAGGGATGGCAACACACCTGTAATCTAGTGCTGAGGAGGCAGAGGCAGGAGATCCCTGGGGGAAACTGGCTAGCCAGACTAGCCAGAATCTGCAAGCTCTGGATTCAGTGAAAGATCCTGCCTCAATAAACAAAGCAACTGAGAGAGCCATGTGACATCAACCTGGGGCCTCCACATGCACGAACACATCTGTGCATGCAGACACACATGCCCACATACATGTGAGCATGTACATAACACACATACATGATTCTACATTACATAATTCTTTTAAAAAATATTTTATTATTTTTATTTTATGTGTATCAGTGTATTGTCTGCATGTATATAAGTGCACCCGTGTTGTGCAGTGCCCACAAACGTCAGAAGAAGGCGTCAGATTCTTGGAACTGGAGTTACAGGAGGTTGTTAGCTACAGGTGAGTGCTGGGAATCAAACCTGGGTCCTCTGCAAGAGCAGTCAGCACTCTTAACTGCTGAGTCATCTCTCCAGCCTCTACATTACATAATTCTTGTTCATATGAAGTCTAAGAATAGGTAACATTAAGCTAGGGTGATAGAGACCAGACTGGTGGTTGTCCAGCATGAGGAGTAGGAGGATGGGACTCTTAAGTGGCATCAGAGCATTATGGGAAATGGCAGAGGGGCTCTATCATTGATTGAGATGGTGCTTACTGGGGGTGTGTGGTCACTCACTAAAACCTACAGAAATATATGCTGCAAATCGAGTGCATTTTACTATATGTAAATCATGCTTGTGTAAGGCTGGTTAAACATATACAAACAGTCCTGCCGCAAACCTCCACAACCTTAAAAAATGTGAGTGAGCTTTGCATTTGTAATTCTTTTAATAAAATAATCAGGGATTTGTGCAAATATGTGCCAAGAGGAGGGGTCACTGGCATAATCTTTGTAACAGCAAAAGAAGTCACAAATGAAGTATACAAGAGGAGGTCTGACTACGTTAGAGATCCGCGAGGGAAGGCCACATGACCATGAAAGATTGTCCTGAAAAACAGCAGCTTTGTGGTGGAAAGACCAAACACACCACACAAACCACATATCCCATTAGCCAAACGATCAAAGTTAGCACACCCAATAATGAGTCATCCTAACACTGTGAACCTTGGGATTCGACGTGCTAAGGACATAATCACTTCGGTGGTCCTTAACAGAACTATCAGAAAACAAGAGGCAAGTTCGACTGTCCAGCACTCTTCAAAGTTAGCTGTGGTCAAAGTAAAAAAAACCAAGGTGTCGGGAGCTATTAATCCATTATGTACATTGAGCTGTGGCAGGCTTGTTTACTGAGTTTGTGTTTTGCACACCAGTACCTAATCTGCCAAGTCAGGAGGAATGTGTTTATATGGTGGAGCTCAAAACATGTATTTGACCGCTCCTTGACCCTCAGATACAGGTGGGAAAGACAGCTGTTGAAATTGAGTTAAGATCTCCGATGTTCTGTATAAAAAGGCGGAGCTAAAATAAACCGGGGCTGCAGTCTCTACTGACAGCCCTCCCAAGTATCTTTTCTGTCTCTTGTTTTTTCTTTCAATCCTCACTCCCCCTTTCAGGTACTGTCCGTTTTGGCCGGCTGGCACCGGCACCAAGGCATCGCCAGACAGAAGGTTAAAGACACACGATAAGTTGACGTGACATGTGAACTTGAATTCTTTTTATTTAAATTATTATTGTTTAATTTTATTGGAAAAAAACTCAAAAATAAAAAATTTCTGCATTTCATTCGTGTGTGTGTGTGTGTGTGTCTTGAGTGGGGGTCAGAGAACAGCTCAGAGGAGTCAGTTCTCTCCTTTCATTATTGTGGGCACCAGGGATCAAACTCAGGTCATTAGGCTTGGCTGCAAGCACTTTTACCCACTAAGCCATCTCTCCAGCCTGAAGAGAGACTTTCCATTCATTTCTTACTATCTGTCTCAATGGTGGGTCCATGGTATCCAGAAGGTGACTCCTTGAAGCAGATGCACCCTATCTACCAAGGAGCAAGAATAGTCACCCAACCGTCTGCTCACATTTACCTTCATGTCTGTCTGTTTGGCCAATCTCTGTGGGAGGTCATTATTTCCTGAAGAGCCTTTCTGCCCCTTCTACACTCCTACTACAGGCTCTTGCTAAGGAAAAGCCCTGGAGCTTCCCTCTAGAACCTGTGGAAAGAGGATGGCTGCCTTTGCTTTCTATGGCCAGTGGCACAGTGGATTCCAGACCAATGGTACAGCCATGGATGGCAAAGGCGGCTCCACCCTGTCTACACGGCAAGTCCCATGCTCTGCAGGATCCCCATGTTTTCCTAATCTCCCAATCTTGGTTGCCCCATGCTTCCTTTATGTCTCCCAAATCCTTGCACCCAGGCTGTCACTTTCCTCATCGCTGAGACAAGAAACAACTAAAGGGAATTCCTTACTTGGGCTTCTAGTTACAGAGGGCTCAGCCAGGGGCTCTTGGCTGTGTGTTTCTGGGTCTGTTGTAAGACAGAACATCACGGCAGCCCGAGAGCACGGTAGAGGATTTCTTTGTGGTAAACAGGAAACAGGAAAAGGGGTATACAGGAAGGGGCCAGGGCAAGATGCATCCCCCAGGTACATGCTCCTGTGACCTACTTTCTGCAGTAGGATAGCACCCCCTCATCTTTCATCATCTCCCAGTAATGCCACCAGATTACATAACCATGAAGAGATGAATCTGCTCATTACATCAGAGCCCTCAGGATCTAACTGTCTCTGGAGACACCCTCACAGGCACACCTAGAACTGTTCTCCAGTCATCTCCTTATATCTTGTGTTTATATATACATGTGTGTACATGCAGTGTGTACATGCATAAATGGAGGCCAGATATTGAAACTGGGTAGGTATCTGGGTATCCTTGTCAACTGATCTCCATCCATTTTTTTTTTTTTGAGATGGGTCTCCCTGTAGCCCCAGCTGTCCTGGAACTCACTGGACTAGAGTCTGGGCTGGTCTCTGTCTCACAGAGATCTGCTGCCTCTGCCTCCTGAGTGCTGGGATTAAAGGCATGTGCACCACACCGGGCTCTCCATTTAATTTCGTCTCCCTCTGATCCTGGGGCTTGCTAGCTAGACAGGCTGACCAGCCAGCCCCAGGGATCCTCCTGTCTCCATCTCCCTAGTGCTGGGATTATAAGTGCACACTGCCCTGACCAGCTTTTTAATTTTTTAATTTTTTATGTGGGTGATGGAGATTGAACTCAGATCCTCATGCTTGCATGGCTAGCACTTTACCATTTGAGCCACTTCCACAGCCCTCCCTCTCACTCCTTAATTCAGCCAAGTGACAATCAGGTCTAGCAAGTTCCATGTCAACCTAGACCAATAGCTCAGTCTCACCCAACTTCTTCCACTTATTCAGCTACTTCCAGAGACACCCCTCTCTTCTTTCTTCTCTCCCATATGTCTCTCCATCTCTCAATCTTTCTTATTTTAAACCTTTTTTTTTGGTGTGTAGTGTATGCATGGTTGAGCATGTGGCTGTGTATGTGCACATGAAGAGCACAGGCTGACACAAGGTATCGTACCCTATCGCTCTCCATTTTATTCACTGAGGCAGGGCCTCTCACTGAACCCAGAGCTCACCAATTGGGTCAGCCTAGCTAGTCAGCTTGCCCTGCTGTCCCTTGTCCACACATCCCAGGCACTGGGATTATAGGCGGGCTGCCAAACTCAACTGGCTTTTTTTGTGGGCTGGAGATCTGTACTGTGGTACTCATACTTGGGCAGCAAGTGCTTTATCTACTGGGCCATCTCCCCAACCTTCTCAGTCTTTCATTTCTTCCTTTCTACTTACCCATTCATCCATCTATTCTTCCTTTCTACCTACCCATCCATCCATATACTCACCCAGTCATCCATTG